TGTCGCGGGTGTCGCGGGGGTGGTTGGGGAGGTTGTTACTGCTGCTGTTGCTGTTGTTGTAGCTGTAGTTGAAGTTGAAGTTCGTGCTGGTGTGAATTTTCGGGCGGACACAGACACGGGCGCGGGTCTTTTGGTTGCCTTTGCCGTTGTCGTTGTTGTTGTCGTTGTCGTTGTCATTATTGGTGCGTGCGTTTGGATTTGGTTCTGTGTCTGTGTTTGCATCTGGGTGTGGGTGGGTGGGTGTTGAGGATGTTTTGTTCTTGGAGAGTGTGATTCAAATGATTCGTCGGGTTGGTTTGGACTTGTGGGATACAGGAGTCTTTCCATCTTGTCGAGTCTTTTCTCAAGCATTTCAATGTAGCCCTGTCGTGGGCCACGTTTCTTGTTGCTGGGTATGTAGAGGCACTCTCTGTGGGATTTTTCGCAATTCCCACAACATGGTTTGGAACCATCGCACTTGATCTAATATGTTTATACGATTGTGTAATTGGGTGCGATCATGTATGCGATTGTATGCGATTGTGTGCGATTTTGTGCGATTGGGTGCGATTGGGTGCGATTGTACAGTATGTTTGTAATGTGTTTTTAGTGTGAGTATTATATGTTTATTTAAGTAATGATAGTAATAAGAATAAGAATAATATTAATAAATAAATAAATTATTATTATTATTATTATTTGCAAGGTAAAATGATAAAGGCAGTTGTTTGTTTCGTTTTTGTATCGTTTGGTATGTATATACAAATATATAAATATTTAAATATAAATAAACCAAATAAACCAACAATAGCAAAATAGCAAAATGTAATAATGTATATCTTGCAAGATCAAGCAGGGTGAGAAAGATGGCTTGCCTTTTTCTTTCGACACATATCGCATGCTTGTGTCAGTCGCTTCCGTTTGCCATCCAGTCCCTTGGATTCAGAGGGGGATGCATCGGTAGGCGATTGAGACTGCATCCTATGGGCAAGTATAAATATAAATATATATATAAATATAAATATATATATATATATATATAAATCAAACGATCACCAAAGGAATAAAATACAGAATATATATATATATATATATATATATAAATATACAATAGAATATAGAATATAGCAATAGTACAGGGCAAACGTATATTTTTTTAAAAAGGCGCGCGTATAGGTAAAGAAGTGCAGAGTAAAGAAGTATAAGTGTATGTAAAATATGCTATGTGTTATATATACATATGTATTTTTCCCTTATTAATGCTTGTTCTTTTTACTAAATAAAAAAAAATAAAAAAATAAAATAAAAGAAAGAAGAGAGAAAATAGATATTTGCTGCGGATGACAAGTTTGAAGTTTCCTAATAAAAATGAATAGGAAAACTTATGGCTCAGAATAACACAGTCACTATACATTCTCCTTTTCTCTCTCTCTCTCTCTTTATATCTATATTTATCTATATTTGTCTATATCTATACGAATATGATTATGAATATTCCCGGACTGTCTATCTGCACTATACACTGTGTACGCATGTGTCTCTCTTTCTGAATATGTACTTCTTCTTATTTTGGTTATCCTGTGAATTTTACTTTTACTTGCCGTTTGGTAGAGTAAATAAACTCCTTGAATACAACATCTATATAATATATATATATAAGTATTTAATAGTCTGTTTGAATCAATTGGCCAAAAATATATAGATAGATAGATACATACATGCATACATATATACATAGAAATGCAAAAAGATAGAGAGAAAGAAAAAGAAAGGAAAAGAAAGAAAGAAAGAAAGCTATTAGTAATTATTGTGCAAGTCACTAATACAAAGGTTATTAATCTCAGCAGTATTGTATCATACAACCTTACAAGCAAAATAACACCACACAAACCTTTGCTTACAAATGCAGCTTTATTCAGTGATATAGCAAAATGAATATCCTATTTCTTACTGTTACTCTATTTAAAAAAAGAAGAAGAAGAAGCAGAATTAACGATTATCAATATCATTAGTATTAGTGTCTTTAAAACAAATTACACAATAGCTTGGCATTTCAGGGCAGTGTCTCTAAAAAGCGAGGACCACAAGGTACAATAGTTTATCATTGTCAAAAGATAAATAGAAATAAATAAAAAGTAGTGTGATTTGATATATAAAAAGGGAAATTGTTCGTTTCAAATACTTGGACAAGGCGTCAGAAGGGACATATTGGGTCAACAATTTCTACAAGTTAGGGAAATTGGCTTGAACTTTATCACTATATGGCCTGATATGAAAGACACACTTAAACGTAAATGTACACGTACACGTACACGTACTCATGTCCATATATGTATATACAAAAGGATAAATATCAGCAAGAAAAGGTTCATCAACCTCCCCCGAGTAACGTCACCATGGTTACTCATACCTGTCAGTCCAAGACAGATAAATCGTACATTATTCTATTGAAAAAACAATCACTTATACATATATACAGCTATCTAAAGCTCAATATCACCGACTAGTTCCCTCTATTATCTCGTTTGGACCTTTAATAAGGGTCATAATTTCTCACTGCTTTCTGGCTAAATAAATAACTTGTCGAGGAATGTAGACATCTGGCTAGCATACCAACAAACAGGCCAAACAAATATAAATTAATAAACTATTGATAATACAATGAAGGGTATCCTATAAGAAATCTTGAAATTTACCAATGAAAATACAAAGAAAATAAAGCACCAATATAAAAAACAGTTTGTTTGGTAAGATTGGTGCAGTATTGGAAAGCAAAATTAGCGTGTATTATAGAAATGTAAATGATGTGGCGATCTTTCTATTCTAGAATAAGCAAAAGAATATTGACGTCAGATGTATTGCAGCCTAAATTCCCACTATGATGATTGCCGCTTTGATCCACACACAAGCAGAAATATAAAAAAAAATGAAGGAAAGAAACCCTGGATTTCCTACTTGCGGACTAGAGCTGCCTTTCTTTCTTTTCCTTTAATTTTCTTATCTCTTTACACTTCCCTTTCATATACATAATTATACGGCACAAAATAACTTACTAGACAGAGAAATATAGAAATGTGGTTAAAAAAGCAACCTGAACCAGACGTACAGCTGTCAAAAAGAGACCAGATCATTCTGGACAAATACAACGAACGTGTACGGAAATTCGACGAGATGTTCAAACTGTGCTGTTGCTGGATAGGCTACGACGTTCTTCTTGGTCAGTATATTATAATTGGTAGCAAGCTTTGATCGGGAGATTGGAATTTATGTATATATTACCTGTGGCTTCTTACCCTTATAAACAAAATCCTACAAGATTTTTAGACTTTATTCCTATTGTTGGAAAGGTAATTTCTCTTGGCTTTGCACTTTCTCTATACCAACTAGCATGCAAAGCCGACCTTCCGAAATCTATTCGCCAGCGTATGATATATCACCTCAGTGTTGATTTTCTGGTATGTGTGTATGTGTGTTTTACATATAAAAAAATAAAATATATATTATACGATATTTTACAAGACAAAACTCACCCATATAGTCCAATAACCCTTTTCTCCTTCTCTAAAGCTTGGATTGATCCCAATCCTAGGTATCCTACTCGATATGTTATACCGAGCTCACAGTAAGAATGCTCGTATATTGAGACGGTTCATGTATGAGAGGGCAAGAAATGGAACGGTAATAGCCGAACAAGAAGCTATGGCAGTTGATCTCACTTCTCTTGGCCCACCTCCGAACAATCCGCGTACTATTGAAAAAGAAGAATAGCATATACACACAAAAACAAAATATACCGTATATAGATCTTGTTACAGGCAGATTGTTCGACAAGGGTACACAAAACAAAGATATGCCCAATAAAGAAGTCTAGACCACGACTACATTTTATCACTAAAGAAAATAAGCAGAATAATATGATGAATACTCTTTCTACACTTAGAGTAGCATCTTATTTCTCTTAAAAACAAAACAAAATTTTGGGCTTTTCAGTGGGTCTAATGTTGATATTGCACTCTAAATTATATATATGTATATTACTTGGACTTATTAACCCAACCAAACGACAAGCCCAAAAGAAACAAAATGGAATCCTGGAATCAAGTTTATTAAATCTCAGAAATGTCACGTGAAGAATTGCACACAAAGTGAACGTTGGCCAAGGAATTAAACCCGCTCTATATATTTATATATAAGAAATATCAAAGTTATTCTTCCATGAAAGTAAATTTCATGCCATAGCTTTGCAACTGAGATTGAGTAAGTAATAAAAGGCTTCTGTAATATTCTGTATACAAGTAATAAAGGAGAAGAAGAAGAAGAAGAGTTCATTTCTTTACAAATAGTAATTTTTCCAAAATGCAATTATAGTAAATCGACAAAGCCATTCCAGCCCTGTACCCGCACTAAAGTAGTATATTCTGTAACCAAAAGCGACACAATATTCTCGAGGGCAATATATACAGTAGCTAAACTCTACCTACGCCAAACAGTATATATATATAATGATAATATAATAGTTGTACAATTTAAGAAAGAAAGAAAAGAGAGAGCTACAGTAGCAACACAACTAGTGAAAATAAAAAGAAGGATAATCAGGGCTTCTGGTGCAAGTATTGCTGTTTTTGTAGCGTACCAAACGTCACACACACACACACATGTATATATACATGTATGTATATAAAGAAGCCTTTTTTAGCTTTAGAGGATAGGATTTCAATTGATGATGCTTTTGTTATTTCTAGGAAGCCCGTTGTTGGTGTTTGAGGATAGATTATAGACATAGTATCTGGACTTGATATAATTTATATTGCATTGTGTGACCAATGTTCCCCCAAGCGAATACATGTTTTCTAACTTTAGATAATAATAATAATAATAATACTATTCAATTTTGTCTGTTTGTTTCTTTTTAGCATAAATGAAGACCATATTCCTTTCTATGTCTTTATTTCTTTAGACAAGTAACTTGTAATATACATACTGTATATTATTATTTAGACATTCAGAAGGAGCTATTATGAATTATGCCAATTATTAATGCTATTATTATTTTTAGCTTTGAAATACAAGTAAAATGCCAAGATTTTTCCGTTTCTTTTCTTTTAAAGAAATATAAGAATGTAGGGCATTTGACTACAAACATCCCCCAATTAGATTAGCAGTGTTTAAAACGCATTGGCTTGTAAGATAGTAATCGAAACAGTAGAGACTGTTGGGATATTGGTTACAAGTTTAATAGACGTGTAAATTCAGTAGTATAATAAATTTAACTTTAATTACAACACACACAAGTATATATATATATATATTTATGTATGTATGTATGTATGTATATCTTTCTCTCTTTCTCTATATATCAACCTCTTGGAATGTATATTAAGGATATTAGGTCAATAGCAAAGTATATATCTATCAACTCCGTTTCTTATATAATTACAAAAACACCCCGTAATTTCGTCACTATTGACAAGATAGTTGGGTTATCTTGCATTGCTTCACTAGACAATAAAACAGCACACGTGTTTTTCTCTTGGTTGACACGATCTGACCTTTTGGTCACCGTTCCTGAACACAATTAGCCTTTAGATTTATTAACTACTCAATTATATATATACGTGTGTGTGTGTGTGCATTTGGCTAATATATATATATATATACCTTAGTTACTATGAGCGTAAAATAAAAATAATATATATATATAAAGCAAAAATCTATTTAAAGAAGCAAAGAAAAAATACTATGAGACAAAAAAAAAAAAGAAAAAAAAATGCTGTAATTTGATAAAGTCCAATGGGCTGGCTGGTAGCCCTACAATAAAAAAAAACTTACCCAAGAAAAGGTTTGGCCGAAGCAAAGCCACGGTTACCCTTATTTAGATTCCTTGGCCCTTTGGAATCCCACATCTCACTCTCTCTCATACTCTCATACTCTCTTTCTCATGGACCATCATCCCGTCGACGAAGCTCTCACACCTAGCACAAGTAAACTATCTTATCGAGTTGCTCAAGTATTATTGGATGAGTCCATGTATAATAATGTCACCTAGGTCTCGATGAGCTGCACATCTCACCTCAGCAACAATGCGACCCCACCACCCCTGCTGACTTGAATTCATCCAGCGATCCACAATCTCCAGCACCATCACCAACACCAACACCATTACAGCCACAGGCACAGGCACAGACACAACCACAACCACATTCGCAATCGCAATCGCAACCACAACCACAACCACCAACCCCTCTCAATGTTAGTCAGCAACCAACATCTACTGACAGCACACCAACCCCGACCAGCCTCGTCCAAGATACCCCTTCGCCTGTCGCCCCGGCCGATACACTCCAAGTACTACAGCTTAAGGCTCAGCTTGCTCAGCAACAAAAGGTTCTCATGGAAATCAATATGGAGAAAGAGCGTTATCTTCTCGACACCCAACGTCTGAATGAGATGATCTTCAAGGTCAAGGAAAAGACTTTGCAGAGACAAGAAGAGAGAAAGCAACTGGAAATAAACTATGACAAGCATTTGCGGTCCCTGCGTGCAACAAACGATGACACCGAGACTATCAAACTTCGCCTGCAGCAATTAAAGCAGAACATTGACGAACTCGCCACAGACCTTGTTACGCATGGCGATCATGCTCAGGCCACACGCGCACTCCGCACATTCTGGCTCAACCTTCACAAGTCTATTGAACGCATGGGAGATCCCCTCCCACCACAGCGCATCAAGATGCTGACCGAAAAGTTTATCATGGATGTCCTTGTCCAGAACATGAACCTCACCAGATTCCCTGGCCTCAGTGTATCCAGGCACTACGACGCCATGCTCGAATTCTTTGAGATTCACGATCCTTCTTCTTCTATTCGTCTCCGCCAGGAACTCACCATGGTCATGATTTCCAAAAACCAGCCCAATACCGATATCCATCAGGCTCTCCACATGGCCACTCTTTCGAACTGGAAGTTTCTCTACAGCGGTCTGACCGAGGCCTATCCGTTTGTCTACAAACAAGACAAGAGTGACGGTAAGATGTATTATGGCTCAAAGGTACGCACGCTCGTCGAACAGGCCATGTTCCTTGGGTTTGCTATGAAGGGCCAGGAACTCGACATTACTGCTGCAGAGACTCAGGAACAGTCTCAATCATTCGACCCGGAATTTATGGTTGATGAAGATGGCCAGACAGCAGGTGTGGTTGAGTTTTGCATTTGTCCGCCGTTTGTTGTGTATGCAGATCACCCACGGCCTATAGAAAAAGGAAGAGTCTTGTGTTTTACTCCCCCCTCCACAGCAGTAATCTAGAACCATATTACCCTACCTTTGAATATATATCTATCTATCTATCTATCTATCTACATATCTACATATCTACATGTATAAATGTATACGTACGTTCCTGTGTGTCTGTTTCTATGTCTTTCTGCGTGTGTTTATGAAAACATAAAACATAAAAATAAAATGAAATGAAATAATAATAATAATAATAATAATAATAATAATAATAATAATAATAATAATAATAATAATAATAATAATATTAATAATAAAATGTATATTCATTGTCAAGAGGTTTTGGATAAAAGCGTAGTGTATTTTGATAAAAAATAATGGAGATTATTAGCATTGCTATATATAATTATACAAAAGAAATTATATTAAATACCTGGAAAAATAAAAATAAAGTAAGAATAAAAAGGAAAAGACTATAGGAAGGAATATACAAGATAACAAAAGACGCGTAAGATAAAATAAAACAATATAAGAAAAGTATAATAGGGTATAAAGACAAAAAAAGTACATGTATATGTGTGGTTACATAACAGAAAATGAAAGAAAGGTCTGTCTAGAGATAAGTAAATGCTGTCCATGCCAGAACTCCTGTCACAACAATATCCACCATCTGTGCCATAATGTACAGGGTACAAAGTTTGCCGAGATTGCGAATGTTCTGGCGCACATCGTCCAAATGGAGTCCCAAGCCGATGCTAACGAACGACAATGTCGAGAACCACTCAGAAACATAAAAGCAAAATGTGTTGACATTCGAACGGAGCTGTGGGTCTCCATCGACAGTGGTGTTAAAGAGGATTGCAGTCAGAATAAAACCAAGAACAAACTTTGGAAAACGTTTCCAGAGAAGAACCCATGCCTTGTCTCGGCGCGCAATAGGTGCCATTCTAGGCTGAGGGATAGTTGCACATCCCTCATTCTCTGGTTCATGCGGTCCATGTGGTCCGTCTGTGTTGTCGATTGTTGACTCGTTGCTAGCAGTGTCAGTTATTGCGTGCATCATTTCCTCTTCATTGGCTCTGTATGCCATGCGCAATTCATGATGAGACCAGGCCCAGGCCATGAGGACAGACAAAGGTCCAATCAAGACATTCTGCATCATCTTGACTACAGCCGATGTGTCGACTGCTTCCTTGTCGCCATAGATACTAGCAGATGCCAATACTGCACCTGTCGAATCAACACAGCCACCGAACCAGGCCCCGCTCACCGTAGCCGAGAATCCCAAGTCTTTGGCGACATAAGGTAGGGCAATGATGCTCGGGATTGTGAAGATTGAGATGATTGCTATCGGGAGTTCAGTCTTCTGGGGTGATCCCATACTTGCGCCAAGTGCAATTGCAGCCGACGAGCCGCAAATAAACGTTGCGCCGGACATGATGATCGCGGTCTGGAGATCGATACGAAGGAAACGCCAGCCGATAAAAGCCAGGACCATGAACAGAAGAGGAGTGTCGATCCAGCTGACAAACAAAGCGCGAGGAGCGAGCGGTCTGAGAACACTGATGTCGATACACAGCAAGACAAGACTGGTGGCAATGTAGAATTCGGTCTGTTGGGCAACCTTGAGCCAATGCGGGAGTGCGATCGAGACTTTGTTGATACTCAACAAATTGCGAAGAATACAGCCGATAATAATAGCCCATATGGAATCGCCAATACTAGCCTTGTGCAGGGTCACTACAGAAAAGAAAAGAAAAGAAAAGAAAATAAAATTTTACGCACAAATGTAAGTAAGTAAGCAAGTAAGTATATTGTTGTAATGACGCCTTTTTTTTTCTTAGGAAAAATACATACCATTGCTGGCTAACATCTTGCTGATTAGGGATACAAAAAATACAACTAAATATCCAATTGGATAAAGACGCCAGTTTTTTGCATTTGTAGCTGCCATTGCCAGCCAGACAATTAGTCCAACCGCGAAGAATAAAACCAGTAGCCCGTAATTTCCCACGGTGGCAAACGTTAAAAATGGATTTGTTGACCAGGGTAAAAACTTTGGTTCAGGTATGTCATGCTTTACAGCACTCACTACGCATCCAAAGAAGATCAGACCGATCCAACAAGGCCACCATTCTTCTGAATTCCACCACATCAGCCATGACAGCACACGACGGGGAGATAAAGTAGGTGTGGATGTGGGCGTTGGTTTTTCAGATTGAGTTGAACCGCCTTGGTAGCTAGGAGATTGCTTGGAAGACATTTCTGCCTTTGATGACTGCATGATAAACAGTGTGTTAAAATCAAGATGAATTTAACAAGAAATAGACAAGGTAGAAGGGCAAAAACAAAACAAGACAAAGAAAAACAAACCAGAATTAGTGCTTATATATAGTATCTTTGTTTTTTTTTGTACTGAGAACGGAGTATCTTCTAGTCTTCAGAAAATAAATTCCCACCTTCAAAGTGTTATGGCTACCGAACGATAGCTATTGTGGGTAACATGTTACACTAACCCCTCGAATAAGCTGATTTTAGAGGTAAACGGAAGCTTGCGCCATATTGCGCAATGAGTTCTTGTGTAATCTTGGTTTCATTTTATTTCACGGTGCCTTTCAGGTTCCATGATGATTTTTATTTTATTTCTTTGTTTCTAAACACTATATATACATATATCTCTCGCAGTAGTTTATCTTGAAGGTTTTTGTTTGAAAATACTAGCCTTTTTGTACTTCTTTATCTCTCTTTCTTCATTTCTCTACCTTAACTACAAAAAGATACAGGTTTAATGTGTTATTTTGAAGGTTCACCAGATACAGGTTTATCTTTTTTTTTTCTTTCTTTCTTTATCATTCTTGTGCTGATAAGGGATAGTAGAGTACGTTTGAGAATTGAAGCCCTTGCACTCTTTCTTTCTGTATATATATATATTTGTCTTTAATATACAATATATAACACCTTTCTTAGTATTTATTATATTAACAGTCTTGTGTGTATCATCTGAAGATGACATCAATTTCTTTAGCAGTGTAAACAAGTCTTGTATTCTAATATGACTCTAAAACACACAAAATTACCCAAAAGATATAGCAATGGAAAATATATATACCATTTTCTTCCGAACACTTTTTTTTTCCGAACCTTTCCATTTTGCTTATGACTTTCAGGTCCCACCTACCAGAATTTTTTTTTGACTTGTATTCTCTTCTTCTATCTCTACCTATATATCGATATTTTTATCTATATATATATTGGATTTGTAACAGAGAAACCTTGGAATAGAATTAGCCATTTGATCTCCATTTAAACCAACATATATACTCAAAATTTTCTAATAAAGACCCTGCATCTTTTATATTTAACATTGATGTTAATGCTGACATTAACATTGGCAGAAAATAAAAAAGAGAACACTTTCTTATTCTACTATTATATTTAAGTTATTTCGCTCTCGTTCTACCTCTCTCTCTCTTTATGTTTTCTTGATATATATAAGCCAAACCCTTTGGTGTATTAGGTAAAAAGTGTGTGTTAAACATTCTACAGAGCAATAAAAAGTGAAAAATTAACTTCAATGGTTATATATTCATTTTTGCCTCTTATCATTCAACTTAATTTTTTCTTCTGCTCCATTTCCTATCTGCTATCATTAGTCTTAACAAGCTTGAGGTCTTTGATTCTTTGTTATTTTTCTTATATTGCTTTTGTTTGAATAATATTAACATAAATGATGAATACATACACAACACAAAGAGTATTAAGACTTTGAATATACTTGCTTATAGACATAGGTATAGATATGTAGATATAGACGTAAATCAGTCGTATACTAATGACACACTCTATCTTGACTCTTTATATCTCCACAGTATTTAGATTTATCAACTGAAAAATAATCACACATACACAGAATACACAAGCAAAGATAGGAAAATTATTTTATATATATATGTGCGTGTGTGATCTAACGGGATTCTAATCGCTGATACAAAAGTGCCTCGAGTGCCTCGAACGTATAAAGTCCGCTTATCAATTTACACTATAAAGCCAAATGGTCAATTGGAAAAATACCCTTTTTTTTTAAAAAATCACCCACATAGTACTGAACTATTACTATTATGATCTGCAGAAAAGAAAGACTTTATACACACTTGCACTAATTATAATACAAAAGGATTATTGAGATTTTTATCAAGAAAAATCAGTGCTCCATCTCCAAACCATGAATAACCTTTTATTTCGTTGTACTTTTGGGACATTGCAGTTAAATTCATATTTTTCAAAAAAAAATTAGATGCCACAAATAATCGTCTTTCTCGTCTTTTGCAAAGAGTGAAGCTTAAATCATCATTCCAGATAACAGTCCTTCCCTGCTTTTTTACAATCTTTTATGTGATTAAACCATTGGTGTCGTTTTTTAATTTGCTCATCATTAAGTAGAGTCCTCCTCTTTTTTTTTTATTTTATTTTTGGTTACCCAGTAATGAAAATCAATGACATGTAACGTTCTTGCTTAACCGTATATCGACCAAAATATTCTCCTGCCTCTGATTTTAGGCTAACTGCTCATTCATACCAGTCAAAAAAAATTGCCTATGGTTTTTTTCTCTTAATAATTAAATAAAGAAAAGGTGTATGTTTGTCATCATATGTGAGCAGCTTGGGGTTTTCCAAGAGTTCTTTAACACATATGCATATTTGACAAGCCCTGTTGCTTAGAGTTTTGTTACTAGCGTTTAATCTTCATTTCTAGACTGCTGAGGTTAGCTCCAATATCAGCATCAATCATCTCTTAAAGATCAAGTCCTATAATTTGTCTTTTGTGGATAATCTGAAGAGCATTTTATTAAGATTGTGATGTACTGAATTTTCTGTATTTAGTTTTCCCATCTTGATCAAAAATGATCCTTTATATATATATATACATTTTATATTTATTCTGTTTAAATATAAATATGCCTTTAGTGATGCTGATGTTGGAGTCGCTGTTTGTTAAGAGTTTCAGTAATAACATATTGTTATCCAAGTGATTTCTCTACTGCGAAATACATATATTATTCCTATGACAAGTGTCAGTTTTTTAAAGTTTTTTTTATTTCTATTTTATATATAATTAGGTTGGTTCTTGTTTATTTGTATTTGAGCAATTAATTCAATCTATCTATTTTATTCTCTCTTTAGTGCTAAGCTTACCCCTCCTTTGTGATCGGTGCACTTTGTTTTCTGCCAAGAAATAGTTAACATGGTATCCAAAAAAAGCCATTTGTTTAGCTATGTTATTGTAAAATATAGTTAATTATTAGCGTTTAATCACGAGGTGTTCTCTTGGGGTTGTGCAGTCCCTATTCTAACTAGTGATATAGTTTTAGTCTGTACTGCCAATAACCAAGAGTTGATCAATGATACATCTTTGAGAATTCAAATCTAAGCCATTACAGCCTGACTATTTGACTATATGACTACCTTGATCACAAACTAGATTCCGGAAAGAAGGAGGGCCCTGGAGTACTTGACTTTATATTTATTTAGATTTGATCAAGTTCTTTATATTATATGTATTGAGGCACAGATGTCAATATTAGCTAAATTAGCTAAATTAGCTATACTATGTATGCTGAGTGCCACACTAGAAACTTACTCTCGGCACATCTTTGATACCGTTGAATATGGTTGGTTATTGATATAATTCCACACACACACACACACACACATATAATTATTTAACTTTTTTTTTTTCTAAAAGTATAGTATTATAGATAGAATAAAGTGTTTGATTTGGTTTGAGGGATAGACTTTAAAATATTTTATTATATATATATATATATATAAATATATAAAATATCTTGGCAAGTGTATTACACCACACCAACAGTATATATGCTAAGAATTTTATAATAATACTATGCCTAGAGGGTTCTATGATAACCCGTTTTATCTCACCCTTTTATACATACATATTCATTTGAGGTTGAAATAAGAAAACCTTGATGAGCCGATTTGGAGTCTGATTGTTAATATCCTTGTAGTCTTGTTAAAGAGAATGATTATAATTATAATGATCTTGTTTGATAACTATAATTTATGTGAGAACTAAGCATGCTGAGCTTATCTTGTGCTGAAATATTTATTTATTTATTTATTTATTTTATGGGTCAGAATTAAATCAATTATAATTAATAGCTCACTATTCGATTCATATTCTATAGACTATTTTTTATTTAATTTCTTTAAAAAAATATTCCAGTATTTTCTGAATTAGGTGTTTGGTACTGAATGTTGCTGTTTTGAATATAAATTAAAATAATTAATAATCAAGGGTTTGTTTGCTTTTGTTGAATTCTTTTTTTTTCTTAATATGACGTGAACTGTCAGTAAGTAGAATATATATATATATATATATATATATATTAGAGAGAAAAAGAGGACGCGATAACAAGCAAGATTACCGCGTGAAAAATAGATGATGATAATCAACAACCAACTAGACAGTTAATGAAGTTGTGAAACAGACACAAGCACAAAGGTATGTTAAGCCTATATAAGAAATAAGAAATAAGAAATTGATAATGATACAAGCCTAAATGAAGCCCTTTTTTTTCTCTTCTTCTCCAATCTATGTAATACAGACTTTTTGCTTAATCCGGTGTAGAAATGAAAATGGAGAACTTTGAATTCAACCTTGCAGTACCAATTATCCTAAAATACAAATTAGTGGTGGGGAGGTATCATATTATATTATATAAAAATCATACTATAAAAGGGTACAAAATGATATTGACCGATTGACTTGTCGCTTGTATCATTTCTTTGTATTATCATTAAAAAGAAAGTAATGTAATCTGAAAAGCTACTGGACTTGGCTTTTTGTATTGGCTGTGATAATCACAATTAAGCCGCCACCACCATCTCCCTTATCGTATCATAAAAGAAGGTAAGCGTAAAGAATAGAATAGTATTGTTTTTCCAGACTTTATACAGACAGACCAAAGATGACCTAACAAGGTTCATCAGATTTCCGTTCTTCTTTTCTGTATACATACTGAAATGCCCCATCTAAAATAGATAATAATAAATAAAACAGAGAGAATCAAAATAAGCTTATTTGATATACTTGATTGCAATAATAAAACGTTATCTTTTTCCACTACCACCACCACCACCATCAATTTTAATGAGTCACTCTTTTTCTTTCTTTCTTAATCTCTTACTTACTTTCTTGATACAGATTTTATATGAACCTGTTTATTGGATTAATGAATACGATATTATGGTTATCGGAATAATAAAGTAAAATAACTAAATATATATATAAAAAGGGCGGATTGGTGGGAATATCCAAAGTCAAGTTAAATTGGTTTTTGGCACGTTCATTATTTGATGTAGTTCAATTTCATAAACTCATGGGTACAAAAAAGAGAGGGGGATATTGCGCTCTTAGATTTGATTTTATTCTCGATCTTTTGTAAAAAAGAAAAAGAAAGACAGAAAGAGCTGGTTTGTCTGAACCTTTGAATGTCTTGATCTCTTTTTGCTTTGATTCATATTTCTAAAGTACTATAAACAGGTCGAGTGTTTGATTGTTTCATGAAAATCTCTTGCGGAAAGTCGGTATATTTTTTGCAAACAATCTACATCTATTCTGGACAGGCATGTATTATGTGGCGAGTCACACAGTTACACTACCTTTTATATATAGATATATAATTATTTCTTATTCTGACCCACATAATCCATCTACAGATAATGTAATATATGTATACCATATTCTTGTCAATTACTTGCACGTTCCATTAAACAGATCCAATCTTGACCAATATTGATCTGCGTATTGGCCACCATAGATGTAGATCGATAATGACAAAATAAATAAATAAATATAAAAATCGTGTTTATCTTTACATAATAAAACGTGTCGGTTTATCTTCATGACGTAGAGGCAACGTTGCACTAGTCCCATCATTGTCCCATCTCTCTCTCTTTCTATTGATATGGAGGCAATCATTTATTTTATCATGTGACTCAACTGATAGATTCACACCAATGAACCCAAACAAAAAATAATAATAATATTGTAGGTTTATCTCATCTATACTGTATTGTACTAGATGGAGTAAAGTGTAGAAAATGAAAGGAGTAGCAAAGAAACAAATGAGGTAGGTATGTTCTCTGGTTGAATAATATATAAAATAAAATAAAATAAAAGCCACCGTTTTTATTAATAATAATAATATTTAATAATGTATATAGAACCTCAAGATCGGTTGATAATAAAGCATTGGAGCAAAGGGCCGTATCGGAGTCTGCCACACGGGAAGAGGGCTCTGTTAGTTATGTCTGCCAATCAGCAGATGTCATCAGACTCAGTTTCTCACGTTTCTTCTCTATGCCCGCTTGTGCCGATACTTTTGAGGCATCACAAACAAACCCAAAATAATACATATAAAATCAATATACACTATATTTAAATAAAATAAAATAATCAACTTTCTTTTCTTTTTTTTTTTATTAATGTAAATACCAGTGGCGCGACTCTATCTTCTTCCTTCTTCTGTTCCTTTCTCTTCTTTAAACTTTTAATCATGGTCTATGCTACTATACTTGAACGTCTTAAGCCTGTCGATGGCTGCGGCTGTCAACACACATTGAAAAACAACTCATGGGATGGTCATTCTGATACAGTATGTCCCAGCTGCACCCTGGCAACCAGAGCTGATTCGCCTGAGAAACGTCCAGAAGGAATGATGTGCTCCAACTGCCACACAACAACCACGCCCCTTTGGCGCAGAGATTCTGCAGGCAACACAATATGCAATGCATGTGGACTTTATTACAAACTACACCTTGTCCATCGCCCAGTTGCCATGATGCGAACAGTCATCAAACGGCGAAAGCGCTCTGAGAAACGTGTGAAGCGACAGTGCAAACACGAGGCAAAAAAGGACTCGTTCCGGGGCTGTGCAACACAACCGGGATCCCTCTCGCCCACATCACAATGGGAACCGTGCCTATCCCAGCTATCCCACAATCATCAAAAACAACAACAACAACAACAGCAACAGCAACAACAATTATCATCATCACTATCATCGGCATCGGCATCGTCATCGGAATCAGCATCAGTATCATCTCCATCATCACTATCACTATCACTATCACTATCGCTACCACATATTGTCCTCCCTCCGATACACTCTCTTGGCACCATAGATCCATCTCTTGAACAGCACGTCTCCCGCCTCACAGCCTATCTATCATCAAACGTTGTTGCCATTCCCGATGACATAGACACAAAAGAGCACCAGGTTGCTTGTTCTCTTCTCTCCCTTGCGCATGCCGGCCGCCCTTTTTCAGATCCCAGCGAAAGCTATCCGCGACTTCCGCCAATCCAACAAGGCACAGGGCGCATTCCAACGCCTTCTCTTCCGGCCGTATCACTCGTAGCATCTTATCTTTTATAAAGCAGCACCAAAGAAAATATTTAAAAAGACACGCACACAGAAAAAAAAGAACACCCGCAGCATTCTCATCAATTAATCATTCAATCAATATTTTTTTTTCTTTGCATACTTTCTCACTTAAATCCAAGCACTCAAGAACTCACATATATCCATAAATGCACTCATACAATCACAATCACACTCAAACCCACACTCAAACCCACACTCACGCAATAGCACAACAATGTAATAACGCACAAACACATTGCACACACTGCATACACACACACGTACCAATTTTACTTACAAATAAATCAATCATAACTTTCATTTTTTGTACAAAACAACCAACCAACCAACCAACCAAGCACATAAAATAAATATTAATTTACCATTTGTCCCTGTCCACCTTTCTGTTTGTATTTGGATTATTTTATTATTAAAGTCCTTGATCCGCACCATTACATATATATATATATTTAATATACTCATAGAATAAAGGGAGAGAGAGAATATTCTGTGCAAATTGACACTGTCAAACATGACTGATAAGAAATTCTTACCGACTTTCCATAATAATAAATAATCGCAAAGGTAACACAAAAGAAAAACGGTTCATTTTCTGAAAATAGAGATTTCATACAAGAAGGAATCACAGCATTTTATTATTAAACATGCAATCAAATCTGCTCAATAAATAAATAAATAAATAAAAAAATCCGGTTTCAATACTCGAGTAACATACATATATTCTGATTACTTTTGAAGCCAAAGGGAAATCATAAATGATTAAGTAAAAGTAGTGGATCTACTTCTTCTTATATATTTTGTGTAATATTACTGTATTAAATATTTATATATATAAAAATAAAAAAGCCCTTAATTATACTATCTTGAAAAGTATGGCCAGTGTGAGAACTAAGTGGCGTCATTTTTGGAGTACAAACTTTGCAATCCTTTTCTTCCTTTGACAGATGAATGGACCTAAGAAAGAAAGAGTAAAAGGCAATGATGTTTTTCTTACTCTTCTTGGCTCACAATAATTCTTAACCAAAGAAAAAAATAATACAGATCCTTTGAACAAAGTTAACAAACTCATTGTGTATAAAATGAAGTGTAAATAGCCTTAAACTGTAGGCTAGGATTTCAACAGATTTCTCTTTATTAGGAAGGAACACACACCAAACAACATTCAAATCACACTATATCTATATATCTATATATTTGTATAGTGTGGTTATTTCATCTAAATACAGTGCCTTTGTGAGACAGAAACCAAAAAACCAAAAAACCAAAAAAAAAGAGTCTACCTCATTATTATGATTATTATCATCATTATTGAAATATATTAATCCAAATGAAAATAAAAGACTAAGGGCAGAAAGGCAGGCAAGGGGGGGGGGGGGGGTAAAAGGAAAATGTACATATTTTCTTAAAAATAATAATAATTCATTTTACATATATTGCTCAAGAGAATACATCTGTGTGTACATATATACATAAATATAAGAGGCTGTCCTGCTTGCCTGTCTCTCCGTTTAATTTGTTGGTTTGTTCGTGTGAAAGAACTCTAGGCATTCAAGTCATCTCGTGTTGCAGCACAGGGGGCTCGTACCAATCCGAACGGGCATTAAGGGAAAAAGGCGCTTTGGGTACTCTAGTTGCTATATATTCACGTCTTTCTTTTGTTGCTTCTCCTGCCAGCTTATCTGCAAAAACATTACCCGGGATTCCTATGTGACCTGGTACATACCGCTAAATAAATAGATAAGACAGGCCCAGTTGGATAAATATTCGATTCAATTTGATTTGATTTGACTAGCTAGCTAGCTAACTTTATTTATTGCTTTTAACCAGACATCTTTCTTTTTTTTTTAAAAAAAAAAAAACAATATAATATTAAATTTGACTTACGAAATGAACAGGGAATTTTCTCTTATTCATCAGTTTTTTGATTTTTCGGTAGAGGTCTGGATTTGTTCTATTGAGGGCCTCCATACTATTATCCATAGCTTAAAAATAATAATAAACAAGCTTAGTCCATTTTTCTGTTTTCTATAAGTGACACTGGATATTTGTGGGCTTACCATCGATAAGAACATGACAATCCAACTCGATTCTCAAACTTCCCTTTAGATCCTGACATACTTCAAGTGCTCGAATGACAGCCTAAAGAAAAATACAAACAATTAAAGACATGTTATACACATACTACACATGTGTATATCGGAGAGGGTGTGGACTCTTTTCTTTCTTTTTGGTTTAAATATAATTTAAATTTCAGATTTATATCATCTTCTTTTAAAAGGAAAAAATAATAATTGACCATAGCTTTATGGTATCTTCTCCCTCCTCTTCTCTCAATTTGCCAAAAGTACTCTCCCATTTGCTCGTTGGTTAGAATGAAAGAGGATAATTAAAGGTTCGTATTGCCCTATTTAGGCGTTATGGCAAATTCACATCACATCACATCACATAACATCAATCTGCCACTAGTCCACACCCTCTCTATTAAATTCAATTTGATCTGATCTGATCTGATCTGATTTGATTCAATCATATATGTAAATAGTCTTGGGTGTAATAGACTGAGTACAAAGATCCAATCAATCAATCAATCTTTCCTTTCCCCTCCCTTTTATGTTTTTTTTTCTCTTCTTAATTCAGTTATTATCCTTACGTGTATTTCAGCCCGGAGAGCACTAGACTGTCTAAGATCCATATCTACAGATTCACTCAAGTTCAAGCAGTTGTTGGGCCCTCCGAATATTCCAATTCCTGCTACACCGCATTTCTGTCCATTTTCCTCCCATTCAAGGTATGATCCATCAGTGTATACGGTATACTCAACAATAGGATCAATTTCAAGTCTTTTGATATACTAAATACAACACACATCATAAGCCATAAACCATAATGTTTAGCCATTTCGTTGTTGTTGTTGTTGTTGTTGTTGTTGTTCTTCTTCTTTAACTCAAAATCTCCAGCATAATAATAATAATGATAATAATAACAATAATACCAGAAATCTAATCTTACTTGATCAAACTTACATCTAGAAAACGGGCGTCTGATTTACCCTTTATTCCTCGTGTATATATACGTCTGGTTCTTTGTCTTACACGTAATATGGCTGTTTCAATAGCTGGCTTGGTAATCTTGAACGATTGACGGCTCCTTGTTATACTCTTGGGAATCTTGGTTTTTACGGCTTTCTTTACTGTAACGTTGTCAATGATTCCATTATCTTTTGTAGAGGTAGAGGTAGAAGTATAAGTAGGAGCAAGAGCAGGAGAAGGAGCGAGAGCGAGAGCAGGAATAGGAATAGGAATAGTAATAGGAATAGAAGCTGGATTCAGTGTTGGCGCTGGCGCTGGCGCTAGCGTTGGCGTTGGAGTAGTAGTAAAAGAAGAGAAAGAAGAAGGAGAGGATGGTGGTTGTGGTGATGATGATAATCCCATGCTAGTTACTTGTTGGTATGAAGAATCACACTGTTGCGGCGAAGGTGACCGCTTATAGAACTCTAGTACCGGTGGGCGAAGATTGCTACTATTACTATTACTACAACAAGAAGAATAGATTTCTTTCTTTTTCTCTTCGTATTCTTCATATTCTTCATATTCTTCAAAGTCTTCGTATTCTTCTTCTTCTTCTTCTTGTTTTATTTGTTTGCCAGAAACTTCTGTAGCATAATAAGCGGTAGATCCTTGTGGAATCATGCCATTGTAGCTGGGTACTTGTGTTTGTTCATGTAGTGGTTCTTGTTTGACTTTAACAGTGTGATTAGAATTCAGATGTGATTGATCAACAGAACATGTGCAATTGGGGTTGAACGGGATATGTAAAGTCTCAGTAGTTAGATCATAATGCACATGACCTTTTCTGTTATAAGAAGAGCCAATAGATGCATCATTAAGCTCTTCAGATGCATCATGATATACAATCTTGCTAAAATAAAATGAATGTTAATACAATTTCGAGATGGCCTATTATAAATCGTATGTATGTGCGTGTGTGCGTTGCGTGTTGTGCGCGTGCATGTGTATGTATTGCATGTTATATGCTGTATGTTGTGTGCGTGCGTGCGTGCGTGCGTGGGCCTGTATATGTGTATATGCATGTGTATGTTTTTTTTTCTTTATTACCTGGATTGTATTCCCATGATTTGAGATTTTATATTTGAAATGAAGTTGAATAATAAAGAATAATAGACGAAGGAATATATATATATAGTACTAAATGTAAAGAAGAAGCCTGGTAGCCTTTTATTTTACATTATTATTATAATCATTATGATATACACAAGGTATTTATATAGATATAAATAAATATAGATAGATTGCTTAATAGGCAGATTAAATAATTAACTATACAATTGATTGAGCTACCTTTTAGAGATAATTTCTTATAAAAATAAGAAAGAAGAAGGGAGAGCAACAAAAACAAAAACAACAACAACAAAAAAAGGCGTTTACCTAAAATAAATCTTATGTCTCTTCTATATATTTAAAAAGGGGTCCCTCTATCACGTGACGCGGTCAGCCAATCATAAGCAAGTCGACGCTCAACAAGTCATCAATGAATGAATAAATTACTCTCGAACATATTGCGCACGATGGTAACCATTTGCCCAATTGAGATAAACAGTAGAGGAGTGGGTGGGAATTAGGGACCAAATAGCGCAGCATAAATAATTTGGGTTTACACGAGTAAATTTCTAGCTATCGAGACAATTATGAAAATTTGAAAGAGTCTCATAAACCTTGACAAACGGGTTATTCTTTCTTTACTTAGTAAGGTAATTTTTTTTAATCCAGTCTCTATGAGAACGTCGTTTAACCTCGTAAATAAATCAGAATCACACTAACTCGATCCACAAATATGTGTGAAAGTGCAAAAAAAAAAGGGAACTTACACCCCCTTGTCTCCTCTCTTCGAAAAAATTCCAAAATCTAAACCGAGCATGTAAAATCAGGAATTTAAATATTCCAACACTAGGACCCCACAACTTCCAACTTGTATTAGCCTTTTTTTTGATGGGCATAAAAGGGTTTCTTGGGTGAAGTTAAGGATTCCTTGTGTATGGAATAATTTAAATAGCTTTTTCTTTTTTTTTTCATACATTTCCATGCATTCTCATGAATTTGCTTAATACCATTAACCATTTCTTGGATATACATTAAAATAAAGCTAATTCTCTTAACAATGTGCATATGCACACTTGGCATTTGCTATTATATGTACAAGTATATAAAAATATTCACACAGAATAAAGTAAAGTAACATAATAATTCGTAAGCTTGGCTAGTGAATAGATTTCACACTATACTTGTGTAGGCCACTTAAAACAAACTGCACTGGTCAGCCAAGTAAAACTGTATCTTCAATATTCCATAGATTGACTGTAATTATTATTTGGTCACCTTACAACATTCAAAACATTAAATTTTCTATTTTTGGTCAATAACAAGTCTTTATTTCTTATTTCTCACAGTCATTTGCTGCAAAGGAGGATATTGGCGACAGTCTGCAGGAACAATCTGCAGGAACAATCTGCAGGAACATCCCAGAAGGTACAAGGCAAAGAGACCCAAAGACCATGTCTCTATAACACTCGCCCCTTTATGAGGCTACTAGACAGACGGTTTGTTCTTCAGATCACCAATAAAATAAAATTCACTGCCCATTCTGTATATATAAAATATGATACTTCTTTGACCGAGTCCAATTCGATCTTTCTCGTTAAACGACACTACTATTCAACCATGACTGTAGATGTTGCTGCCCGAGAAAGCTACCAATGCATATTGAGCCAACTATAATATTTGATCTACTACTTTTGTCTTTGTTAAACCGTAGAGTAATAATGATGGTCAACAAGCATTCTGGTAAAATAGAAATACATCCGTCAAAGGCGATGGCGGGCATATTTGCCGACACTAAAAGTCGCACAGCCAAACCATATTTCCCCCCAAAAAATAAATCAATAAATCAGAGCTCTTAAGCTCATTAGAATACCCGCTCTACATGAATGTTACAGGTTTTGTCTTGGCTTTAAATATAGTATAAATAGTAATAGTCATCATATAAGCATCACTTTTATGTAAAATCATACATACAAAATGTATAAATACTTTACGAGAGCAAATTTGTGTGGCTTGCTGAATGAATAAATGAAATTTCTTTAATATTAAGTCCTGTTGAAGACAGACTAGAGTTAAAAGGACTTGTTGTATATATACATATTTTGGATAAAAGATAAAAAAAAAGAAGACATGGAAAAAAGGGTAAGGTAGAAGAGTAGAGAGTAAAGAGTAGATAAGAAGAAGAAAGCTATAGAGGTAAGAAAGGGTAGAAAGGATGAAGACGGCGAGTAAGAGGAATAAAAAGAATATCAGAAGAATAATAAGAGAAGGTTGAGGAATAAGGAAGAGGAATAGGAAGAAAAGTAGTATATTCTATGTATGATTAAGGTTTAGTGAAGGTTTACTTTGAGTTGGACACCCTTGGCTGCTCCAGACCAAAGGAAGCCGGAGACCATGGTTACCAATGTAATCGGAACCGTCCAATCATCGGTAACACCCAACTGAGCTGCGAGTCCCAAAAGTATGGCCATAACTACAAATGGTACAAATGGATCTCTGGGATTCCATGAGGCATAGGCAAGAGGGGTTTCATCATAAGCTCCCGGGATAACGCCGGGTGTACTTGATCCGCGCGGAATGATGGGGACATTCACTTGGCTTAGATTTGAAAGAACAGAGGATGTGGTAGGGTTGGTATTGGTGTCTACACTTGGTGATTGTGTAGATTCAACCTGGCGATTGACTACCATTATCGACTCTCTTTGTTCTTTGTTGTCGTTTGTTTTGTTGATTATCTCCAGCTCAAGTTCGTCGTCTGAAGACATGATTTCAGTATCTGGTGTGTCTAACTGAAGATCGCCTCTCAGCATCTTTTCAAGTGCCTCTGTATCTTTCACAGCCAATGATCTTCGTTTGGAATCCATTAACATCTGAGATTGTCGTCTTGGATCTCTAATACGTTCTTCTGGGGGTGGGCTAGGATGAGTTGGGAAAGTGGTACTGTAAATACGATGCTCGTCGTTTTCCTACAAGATTATATATATATATATATACATTAAAAATAAATAAAACAAAGTCAGTTAGCTTTAATAAGCAAATGGCTTCGTTTTTCTTTTTATATATATAAAAAAAAGATAGACCACTAACCCTTTGAAGATTTGCCAGCTGTTCTTCCAGAGTCATAAAGTCCTGCTCTAGTTGAGAAACAATTTCATCTTTTATCCTTAGCTCTTTTTTGAGCATTTCAATGTCGTTGTCTTTGTACTCTTGTTGGCACTGGGCAGCTTCTTTGTCTTCTTCTAATTGATCGATGATTTGTTCCAGTCGAACGATCTTATTCTCCAACTCAATTGCATAAGATCCTTGGGAAATAGATGAGTGAACAATAGGACGACAGATATGCTGGGCTTCCATTTCCTGATCATCGTTTTCGGGAGGCAGTGTCATGACCATGCTGGATTGATCAATAGGTGCTAGTGTGTAGCAGCATGTATCTTCACAAGTCGGCTCTCCGCTAATCTATAATTATCCAAATTCACACAAGTATATATTTATGTATAATTTATCAGCACACAAACCCAAACCCAAACACACACACACACACACACACACACACACACACACAAAGAGAGAGAGAAGAAGAAGAGGAAGAAAGAATTAAAGAAAGAAAAAACGAAAATGCCTCAAAGTACAACTATATATATATAATCATATTTACCTGTCGATGGAGCAAATTGACCATTTGTACAAGAAACTCATACTCTGGCCCAACATTCTTCATTTGCATTATTTGATCACATTGAATACGAAGCATTTGCTTAGTCTTCTCTTCCAAATCTTGTTGTAATAAGCGAGTAACTCGCTGAAGTTGGACGTTGTTCAGAGTCAGCATCCTAATTTTCTCTTCAAGAGGCCGGGTCTTTTGTTCTATGAGGTTGTCTGTGTCTACTTTGAGTAGACGGTTGGTTCGTTGTAGTTTTACGTTCTGTAGGGTTAAGCCTTCAATCTGGCCTTCTAGTTGGCGAGCCTTGGTACTAGAATCACCCGATTGGATCTCTCGTCTGGTTCTCTACAGGAATCAGTACAAGATTCAGGAGATGGTCAAGCTCTACCTCTTGTTCGTTCTTTGGAATCGAATAGTTCATCAAGTTTGAATTCACACTGAACCTAGGGACAGGGGATTCCAGGGATCCTGGAGGTCCCCCTGGTCCAGACGTGTGTGAATTGGGAGGCATGGAATGAGTCGGAGTGGAAGATCGCGATGCGAGTGAAGGCATTAAAGGAGAGAAAGAGCGAAATAAATATTGAAAAAAAAAGAGAAAAAGAGAAGAGAGAGAGATAGAGAGAGAGATAGGGCGGGATATGGCACGGTCCTCACTTCGGCAAGACAAGGGGAAATATATATATATATATAATTATATATAATTATATATAGAGTTGTGTGTGTGTTGTGTATGTGTATGTTATATACAGATATTTTGACGAATAAAATCGTACTTTTAAAAAAAAACAATTAGTGTTGTCCAAAAAAGGTTCTCTTCAGCGATCCAAGTTGAACACAAAAAACACTTTCAAGGTTGAACCACAAAAATATATATATAATATAATACAATACAATACAATATAAAATAAATAAATAAATAAAAGTTGGTTATTTAGATATATAGAGCAGTGCGTGCAACACCAAAATGATTAACACACACACACACATATATATATATACATTTACATATGTATTTATTTCAGTTCTGTACTTCTGTGCCTCTATGCTTGTGTATGTTCTTCAGGTAAAGAAGAAGAAGAAGAAGAAGAAGAAGAAGAAGAAGAAGAAGAAGAAGAAGAAGAAATTGATCTTTTGGAAATAGCCAGGTCATTAATAAAAAAAAATGTCTTTTTTGTTGTTGTAAGAAGAAGAATCGAATTCTGACTACAGAACCGGACATACTAAACAACCATAGTTACACGGCTATTCTTTTATTTATTTTTATTCATTATTAATTACCATTGTTTTACTACTGTTTTACTTTTACTTTTAATAATTCTGTTCCTCTTTACCCTCCATGTAACCAACAAACAGAAGAAAATGTTCCTTCTTTCTTAAATATGAGCCCTGAACCCTCAGTTTCCCAATTGACTGACAGCAAACCCTGACCGAAAAGTCTTTGGACCGAGAGATGGATTTGATTCCGGAAGACAGTGAAAAAAATCTAATTGACTGCCAAAGTCATTAAAGAGGAAGATATTATACCACAAGCAAGGTTCTTTTGAGATGCATGATCGAAAGAAAGAAACTATTCCGACCATTAATACACAAATACAGACAGTCCTGAAAGGACCAAATTGTAGGAAGTTCTTCACAAGCTTTTTATTACTCAGTCTAAAGTAGATTGAGTACGCGGCAAGGTCTTTTGGTGTATGTTTTGAAAGAAAAATACATACAAGGACGTCAAATACATAAAAAAAAAGAAATCAAAATCCTCAAATCAGATTTTTGCATGATCACTAATGAGATTAATATAATTATCATACTCTCCTCCTACCCCCACCATCTTACCATATATTCCTACTAGCTTTCTATGGTTACAATTTCTAACAATGATCGTTTGTTTTGACTAGAATATGTTACTGAGTCATCTCATATCAGAAACAGTGTCTTCTCAAGAGCAGTAAAATACGTTCGTCGAAAAGACAGCACCTCGTATGACATTGGTTATTTCGACACACTTGGGCATGTCAAAAGAAGGCTAGATGACTTGGCGGTGTGTATAATGACCTATCATGACGTGGGATAAAATAGCCAATATTAAGAGATAGATAGAGAGCGAATTGACAAGACAGTATTCTGGTTTGGAAGCAAGAGATATCTTTACCGCATCTTATCCTGCACCTACAAGTGATGAGAATAACTAACTTATTTTAAAGCCATTTGTGCTTGTCTTATTGTTTCGCTCCTTATTTTGATTCTTCTTCTTTTCGGTTTTACTATTCTTATGCAGTAATTCCAAGGCATCCCAAAAGATAATTTTCTCTTTCAAAAAACTTAAATAATTCTTGCACACTATCTTTACTAATGTTTCGTACGTAAAAAAAATGATAAATTTTCGACAAATATAAAAATCAATCATAGAAAAGTTAGAAATATGTACAGGAACAGTAGAAAATTTCACAATTTTATTTTACTCTTGACTCTACCATAATTGCCCTTAATTAAACTCAAGTAAAAGCAACTTTTGAAGAAAGAGAAGAAGAAGAAATGTAAAATTCAAGAACTCGAAACGCCTGCAAGAGCTCTTTAATATTTCTACACTACTCTGTTCAGATTTGGAGTTTTTTTTTGAATTGCAAGTCAATTATCAATGAGTATTCTCCAAGAATTAATCGAATTAAATTAGATTCAGGTAAAAGGGATGTTTGTTGTGTAGTGCGGTAATTAACCAAGTAGTGTGTTCACAATAGGGGAAGAATAGGCACAATTTACTACATTTAACAAAAAGAAAAGAAAATATTATGCCTGAGATCCCACTTTTTTTTTTAATTTTTATCGGTCAGCATATTAATTGTAGTACTCCGCATCTCATTTTTAGCAGGTCATAGAAACTCTTTCACAACAAATCCCGAAAGCAGAAATTTGGGACAAAGTGTGAATTTCCCCACCAAATTAAGTATACACTTTTGACCAATTTACTATGTTATCGGGCTATCGGGCTATCGTTATTTGGAATTATATTTTTGAATGAACGCCTCATTAGAAAATATATCATGTTTATTTTACCAAGGAACACAAGTATAATAAGACAACTCTCAAGTGTACTATAATAGTAACAAAAAAACATTATCAATAGCATTTTCAAAGACAAATGTAAGATCAAAATCAAAATGAGACAAAAACATAAAGGTATTATCAAAGTCAAATGAGATCAAAATTTATTGTTCAAAGATTTTTATAAGGGGAATATAAGTTAAGTTAAATTAAGTATACTAAGATATTCCAGGCCATGCTAGTCCAGTCGAGTCCAGTCGGTTCCAGTCAAGTCCAGTTGGTTTTTTTTTTGGTCCATTTGATTTTTCTTTTGATCTTTTTTTTTTGTCCAGTCAATATAAGCTAAGAGTGATAGGAGGAGGAGGATTTTTGTATTGAAAAATAATAAAGGGGATAATTTGGACTTTTTGTTTTTTTTCTTGTTTTTTTTGATTCTTTTTTTGATTCTTTTTTTTTGTCCAGTCAATTTCACGGAATAGTAATAAGAGGATGATTTTGATATTGAAAAGAATAAAAAAGATAATTTGGACTTCTTTTTTTTTTTTTTTTTTTTGCTTTTTTTTTTGTCCGAACACAGCACACATAATAAAGGAAATAATTTGGACTTTTTGATTATTTTTTTTTTTATTATTTTTTATTCTTTTTTTTTGTCCGAACACAGCACACATAGTAAAGGGGATAATTTGGACTTTTTGATTTTGATTTTTGATTTTGATTTTTTTTTTTTTGATTATTTTTTTTACTTCTTTTTTTTTGTCCAGCCAATTTCACAGAATATTAATAAGAGGATGGGTTTTGATATTGAAAAGAATAAGAGAAGGGGGTTTTGGTATTGCTCTTTTCGCTCTTTCTGTTTTTTTTGAGCTTCTTTTTTTGAGCATTTTTTTTTTGTTTTTTGTTTTTGATCAAAGACTTCATTTGCTTTGTATGTATATATGTAAAAAGGGATTTCATACCTTGTCCTGATCCAGAGTCTTGTTCCAGTTCGCAGCTTTTCTTCAATCCAGGGCCAGGTTCCAATGCAGAGTTCTTTCGGTTTGGTCATCTTTTTTTTGTTTTGGTTTTTGGTCTTTTTTTTTTATTCTTTTTTGGTTTTTTTTGGTTTTTTTGGTTTTTTTTGCTTTTTTTTGGTTTTTTTTTGGTTTTGGTTTTTG